GGGCACCGGGTATAGTATATATAGTCAGAAGTACGCACTTGCGAGTACAGTGGAAGCGGACGTGTACCTACAGATGGATATACAGAAGTCCGGCAATTTTGCCGGCAAACAAGCAACATGACAATGAGTGAATCTTCAAGTCGGTTAACACATGCAAAGAGAATGTCACTAAACTTATAGGCAGGCTATGGACACACACAAATCAAAGACATTTTGCAAGCAGATGGTCGAGCAAGTCGGCCTGCGCCGCTCGCGAAGGTGGCTCTTCCGCCGGCCGCGGCTCTTGCGTATCCTGGGCCCCGTTCGTCGAGATGCCGCTGGCTGCCAATATGCTTGGGACCTGGGGTTCCCAAAGCGCCAGCTTTGAGGATTGCAGCTCAACAGTGATCTGGCTCCTTAAGGCCAGGTGTGCAGCCCGGGATTCTTGCATCGACCTGCGGCCCGCAAGCAGCTCCTCCATGGCCGACTCCAGCTGTGCAACTCCCAGATCCCTGGGCACCTCAGGGGCAGGGCTCGGCGTGAGGCCCTTCGCGGCCTTTGCACGGGAGGATTTGATGTTGCTCAGGTGCTCGGAGACCCGATTGTATGCCTCCTGTGCACGCGCCAGGTGCGATGGCAGGAAGTGATCCGCTCCCGGCAGGTCGCTCCCGGCGGCTCCCGAGAGGTCGCTGGAGACACTGCTTATAGCCGCGGACAACATGGCTCGCTGCACTTGCCCGTGCTTCGAAGCTTTACTGTAGCTTGAGAAATGCATGTCGATGCATAAACGTTCTAATACTCAGGATTTACCTGCGCATATGCTCCATCATATGATGCGTTTGTTTGTTCTTGCTTCTTGCGTGACAGTGGTGGTTGCTTTCCTTTCTCTGCTCGCTTGGTGGAGCCAAACTGTTGATTCACTGCGGGTCACGTACCCTTTTTAAGGCCAGCCTGTGAACCCCCTGCCTGTGAGCAATAGCATTGACAACACACCTAAAATTCTGAAACCCTAAGCCCTAAACCCTAACCGTTGAAACTATCGCTGAGTCGAAGAATGCCTCGAGGACCTTCTCCACGATACGCTGCAAGTCCGCTGCGCACATCGCTTCTGCCGGCCGACCTTCAGCATACTACAAAAAGGACTCACCCTCCGACTGGCTGCTTTTTGTGGATTCTGAGGTTGCTACACGAAGGGGATACTACCAGACTGAAACTGGTACGCATACTGGTAATGTACAATGCACAGGTTAAATTCACATGCAACCACCTCCATGAGCAAAGGCAACCCTTCCTCCGAACTCTGCGATCTGTGGAACGGCCTTCGCAGAGGGTCCGGTCGCTTGTACAAGCCTCCTGCACTGAGACATACTGAGACGTCACTCTTCGGAGGCACATCCTGGTTTCATCGACTTTTATTGACAGGCTCATTTAAGCAGGAAGTACTGCCCATATCTGCCCATAGATGTCCATAGTTTGCAACTCTTCTTCTTCTTCGGGACAGCTTCTTTTAGCTATCCTGCACGCCCTGGCTCTCTCATTCCTATCGACTCGACACAACTTCCTTCTTTTCCTGAGAAGGGTTCTGCGGAGCCCCCGCCTCGCTGCCAAAGACAGTGGCGAGGTGCGAAGCCTGACAGCTCGAGCAGGAAAGGAATAGGGTTCCTTTATAGTAAAGTTATAAGGAACCCTAAGGATTAGTATTGGTTAGAACAGGGTTCCTTTATAAGGAACCCTAAGGCTTAGTATTGGTTAGAACAGGGTTTGGGGTCTTTCAGGGAACATGATGCTTCACATCTGAAAGGAATCTGAACAGCATGAGGCATCGTTCCTGCCACGTCTCCATGTACTGCCGGATGCTGGATGCGGTGGCCCCAACCTGCTCAGTGGTCAAAAAAGGCACAGGTCTTGGCAACAAGCACAGAGCAATGGACCAGTTCTCTGAACTCAGATCCCTTCCCAAAGGCTCCCAAGAGAACAGAGCTACACATACCATTACACTGTGGTATACTTTTCTTAACTAGTTGTGCTACAGCATACTGTATTATGAAAGAACAAGCCAAAATTGGCTAACTTACAAGAGTTGGATACCAGAGCTACAGACAGAAGCCGTCTGAGCTCAGAGCGCTTGCACGCTCGGCTTCAAGATCTTTCTGCATTTCCCGCACCAGCTGCTCCAATCGGCAGACGTCCTGCAATTGACGTCGAAGCGTCATATCAGGTTACTGAAAATGGATTTTGTCGCGAGCTACTAAAGCATTGGTTCTTTCGCACGGGTTACTATAACATGGATACTGAGGGTTACTGTAAGATGTAGCACGCGTAGCATTGCTCAAGGACCCTTTAAGCTTTTGAAGCATGCTGCAAGGCAGGGAAATCTACACACCACGCAGGCAGCTGGCAAAACCAAGACGAAAGAAGCCTAGACTGCCTAGACTCTAGGGCTTAGAGTTTAGTTGCTTTGTTCTTTCGTCCTTGGCCGTCTCGGTTTCTTGACCTCACGGAGGGGGCGAACAGAAGCGGTCTCAGTACCCAAAATTGGCTTAAGTGTATTCCGGAAGTATCCAGGCAGCAGGCCGAAAAGCTCTTGCATCTCAGATCGAAAATGCTGCGAAAGAGCCTGCAGAGTCATGGTTGGTCTTGCTGAAGCCGCTGACGGGTAGCACTTGCCTCAAAGCGCTTCAACATTTGTCTTTGAACATTCGCTTTCTCCGAATCCTCGGTGAAGCGATGCTGGCACCGACAGGGAGCCCAATCGCAGCTAAGCTGGGCACGACATCCTCTTCCTCGGGTGGCCTTCTGCCAGATGCTTTGGCTTGGCTCATGGTGCACAGACACGGCGCATCACTTCTTACCGAGACCACTGCGCATCCGAGGGAGCTTCCACCGGCAGATCAGCATTGTGACCATGCCCATCCGCGGGGCTCTCCTAGCATCCAGTTGCATGTCATGTCTGGTTATGTCCTTTTCCACCGCATGCCAGCCGTGGACGCAATTCTCACTGTGCAGCAGAGGTGCCGCCATTTTGGCAGAGTGCACGGCGGAGGAAAAACGTGCTGCAGACTGAAACACAAGCTGTTCGCTATATGACAAGGGTGGGGGTTCTAGCACACAAACGGCTTATCATGCGCAAGAGCTTCTTTCTCATCAAGCAAGAACCTAAATCGAGCCTTCTCCTCAGCGGTGATGTGCCACGAGCTTCTACATTCGTCCGGCACTGCTTGTTGCAGCAGTCTGCCTTCTTCTACTGCTTGGTGACTTCAAGCGGAACCGCAGGAGTTTGGAGAGCATTCTGCCCCACACCGCAGGACTCGCTTGGAGTGCTGGTGCTGGCTCTACTCCACCGAGAACAATCTGGCCGATACTTCCTTCTAGTCTTGCATCTCACTGGAAGGTGGATCACGGCCTGCGCGCCCCTGCCCAGCAGCAAAACGCCACTACGTGCCATCACAGAGGCAAGTGTGCTACATCCTCTCAGATTCCGATTTCCACCCTCCTGGTCGTGGCCAGCCCCGTGGAAAAGCCATCCACTCTAGGGATGTGTGTCTGCTCACCTACTGCCACCCGAGCTCGGTGGACCTGTTTCAACCCATACCGCCCTGTTAGCGATTTGCATCTCCGCCGTATCCCAAACTATCCCCAAAGATAGTTCTCTTTCAACTCATCCTACTACCGTGTTTGACCAAAACCATCATCGCTGCTTGGGCCGCCTTTGCGCAGTTCCAGGCAAGGCCTAGCCCGAGCAGCCCGGCCTGACATGGCATCTCTGGCGATGAACCCAAGCAGTGGTACCTAAAGTTACAAAGAGTAGGTGCAGTGAGGAATCACGCACTGACACTAGCTAGTACCAGCTAGTACTAGCTAGCACTAGCAAGCTAGCTAGCAGTAGCAGTAGCAGTAGCAGTAGGAGTAGCAGTAGCAATAGCAGTAGCAGTAGGAGTAGGAGATGGTAGGAGTAGAAGTAGGAGTAGTAGCAGTAGCAGTAGAAGAAGAAGAAGTAGAAGTCGTGGTGATGGTGGTGGTGGTAGTGGTGGCGGGGGTGGTGGTGGTGGTGGTGGTGGTGGTGGTGGTGGTGGTGGTGGTGGTGGTGGTGGTGGTGGTGGTGGTGGTGGTGGTGGTGGTGGTGGTGGTGGTGGTGGTGGTGGTGGTGGTGGTGGTGGTGGTGGTGGTGGTGGTGGTGGTGGTGGTGGTGGTGGTGGTGGTGGTGGTGGTGGTGGTGGTGGTGTGGTGTGGTGTGGTGGTGGTGGTGGTGTGGTGTGGTGGTGGTGGTGGTGGTGGTGGTGGTGGTCGTGGCGTATTAGTGCTGGTAGTGGTCCTTGTCGTCGTCTTCGTGGTGGTAGTAGTAGCGAGATTAATGTTGAACAGCTAACGATGATAACAATAATTACACAAATCATTTTTGCTGTGATAAACATACTAATAGTACTACGAGGTTGGAGCAGCAGCAGCCGTCGTCGTCGTCGTCGCAGTAGCTGCCGCTGGAGGTATGAAGCCGTCATCCGAAGTGAGAACTAGGACAATTGCTATCCGCTCCCCAAACAACCACCATCTACTAAGCGAAGCAGACGGACTTTTCAACAGTTGGTCGTAAAGGTCGCTCCGCTTGCTATGTCCAAAAGGAGCCGATAGGGCCCTTGGACAAACTCAAGTGGGCAGAAGATACCCCGGAGTGGGCGGGTGGGCAAAAGATGGGTATCGTCCTTGAGACCAAAATGGCCACGAACGATACTTTCAGTTAAAATAACCCACCATCCACGCTAGCAATTGTCACTACAACAAGACGCAGGCTGTGTTTCTCTCGACAATTGCTATCCGCTCCCCAAACAACCACCATCTACTAAGCGAAGCAGACGGACTTTTCAACAGTTGGTCGTAAAGGTCGCTCCGCTTGCTATGTCCAAAAGGAGCCGATAGGGCCCTTGGACAAACTCAAGTGGGCAGAAGATACCCGCATGACCTGACCAACAACTGCCAAATAAATATCCGTCCCGCCTGCTTAGCGCGGTTGTTTTCGGTATCAAGAGTCACTCGAGCTTGTGCTCGAGTTGGAAGAGGAAGAGGAGCTTGACTCCGATTCCGACGGAGCCCGCCTCTGGCTGGGGAAGCAATGTTTGCATCTCCTGCCTTTATGGCGGAGAGGCACCCATTGAAAGGATTTGTCGCCTGACGCGAAGGGCCAAAGACAACAGGTACGCCACGAGCTCGGGTTCAGCGCCACCTGGGGTGAGCTGAAATCGCTAAGGCATTTGTGAAGCTTGCCACCCCGAGCCGTATTGAGGACGAGGGCCTTGGCCGTGCTAGTGTGGATGGCCGCCGGGCCTGACGCCGGCGCGCCCCTGACCTGGCACTCAAAGTGCCAACTGGAATCGGGGATTGCCAGTGAAGGTCTGACCTCCCGCATAAGCCTGTCCAGATCGCTGCGAATCTTGGCTAAGGTTTCCCTGTCGCCAGCCTCGATGGCCAACTCGTTCAGCTGTGCTAGAGGGGCATCGCGGACGTACCGGAGAATCACTTCGCTTCCCCACCTCCCAAAAATTTGGATGCGCCAAATTTCGATTCCTTTAAAGGCTAGGAACTGCGCTCCTGTAGCGCGTGCCGTGTGGCCAGTGAAAGCCCGAGCTCCGTTGTGATGGCACAACGGGAGCCCCAGCAGAGCCGCGATTCGTTGGAACGTGTCGGCCCACCCATGCTTTGATGGTGGGCATCCATCCAGGTCCACAAAAACTGGATCTTCCGGTTGTTTTCCCTGTACCAGAGACGCTAGGGTGTGAAAAGGGCAAAGGTCTGGATGTAAAACGGCGCAGGAACAAGAGTGCTTGCGGGTGGCCCCAAGCGCTGCCACATCCGTCTTGGACGACGGTAGCAACCACGCGGCTACTTTCGCCCCGAAGTCCAGGGTAATGTGCCGAACCTTGGCGCGGGACGCTTCCAGCTCACGTAAGAGCCACCAGGACGCCACTATAGTGGAAGTGACTGGCCTCGCCGGTCCCGAGGGGACTTGACAGCGTGACTGGTCTAACCCGGCCAGCTTGTCAAGCGGGAGGGCCGCCGCCTGTTTGGCTGGACCAAGCCCTCGCTTGCAGGAGCGCGAGCAAACCCGATACGCTAGGGCCAACTGGTCCGTCCATGGGTGTCCTTTCTGGACGTGTTCTTGCTTGGCAAGGTCCAGGTATTGCATCGCTGAACGGTAGCCTGCCTCTTTGAGCCCACCCATGACGATGTACATTCCGTCGGGTGTTAGGGGATAAGGCTCGAGCCCTGCCCACACTGACCAAGCCACCCATTGCCTGAGTCTAGACTCAACGGGTCCAATGGAGGTGGTCGCTCTAGAGTCGGCCAGCAGAACCGAACGGCAATGAACGGGGTCAGTTAAAGCTTCCATGGCCAGGGCCGCCGACCCCCGACGATATGCACTTGGCTCCCCATTGTTTCTAGCTACTGCCTCTGGCCCTGCACCCGCCAAGCCCCCCGGTTGGGTTCCCGCACCCACGTCGGGCCGCCCTAGGGCAGGACCCCTCGTGAAGAATGCCAGGTGCCCTCGGTGGGTCTCGAAGCGTGGTGGGGTTACTTAAGGGCCGGAAGGCTACCGCGTACGATCTCTTGGGCCGCGGCATCTGCAGAAGCGCGTGACCAAACGGCACAGCACAACCCCGGAGAAGAGAGCAAACGAGCGGGGGGAGAGCGAGAAGGAGACACGAACCCGCAAGGCAAAGAACCTTTTACTCACACTTTCCAGAAGTGATCGTTGATGAGGACCTCGTCACGAGGAACCTCCAGAAGCTCCTTTGGGAAGCGTTTTGCCTCAGGAGCGAACTGGCGAGAAAGGGCGTCCGCCTGCACATTCGTGACGCCGGGGATGTGGACCAAACCGTTCACGTGGTAGGCCCGCGTCGCCTGGTCGAAGGCAAACTCTCGAGCAAGCACATTGAGGTCCGCCGACCTTGCGCTTCCCTTGGCAAGTGCCATGAGGAACCCGAGGTTGTCCGACTTGGCCCGAAATGTGGCGCCGTGAACGAGGGAAGGCAGCCACAAGCGGAAGGCGACCAGAAGGGCCAGTCCTTCCCACAGCGTGTTGTATTTCGGCAGGCCCCGCTCCGCCCCGAATTTCCGGAGGACGACGTCTGGGATGTGGAGGTAGAAGTAGGCCGTGGGACGCCCCCCTTCTCTCCTTATTCCTCCCATCCCCCATGGGCAAGCGTCGGTGACAATCTCCAGGTCGACCTTGGGCGGGTTGGCGTAGAAGATCTTCTCGATGGCGGGGCCTCCGGCTAGTAGCGCCCGAACCCAGCAGAGTGCCGGGCGGATCCGCCTGACATGTATGAGCCTTCGGGTCGACAAAGCATGCCGACCTTCACCCGTCACATCATGCCTGGTCAAAACCGCCCAGAAAGTAGCCAGGAACGGCCGCAAGTGCGGCACCAGGCCCGCAACGAAAGAGAGGGCCCCCGTGAAGGAGCGTAGCTCCCTTGATCCCACCACTGATCGGCCCAGGAACTTGTCGGTGTCCTGCAGGAGGGCCTGAATTTTGGAGGCCGGCAGGGTCACGATCACTGCCTCCTCCGCGTCGACGCACCGGATCCTCGCGCCCACCCATTCCAAGTCTTTGCCACCACAGGCTTTCGAAAGCTTGACGGGGTAGCCTGAAACGGCGGCCCAAAGCAAGGCCACCGTCAGGTCCGAGGCGGCGACCTTCAAGTGCGGCCCGTCCAGCACGAAGACCGGATCATCGACGTACACCTGGGTGTCGGCTGGCCCCGTGGCTGCCGTCGTTCTTCCAAGCCACGCTGCGGCGCGTCCCCACACGGTTGGTGAGGACGCCGATCCAAACACCAACGTGTTAAAGAGCACCAGCTTGTGCATCTTGCCTCGGTTCCGCTTCCGAGGGACGGCCGCCACCGTGAAGCGCCGGTCCTTCCCGGCTGGTATATTCATGAAGGCGTCCCGGATGTCGATGCACGCCAGGAAGGGTGGCCGGCCCCTCCGATAGGCCGCCAAGAGGGAGGCCACCACGTCCAGAAGCCTAGGGAGGATAATCCTTTCTCCCTGGTTGCACGCCTTGTTCACCTGTGACTCTTTCAGGTCCCAAATGACCCGGGCCTTTCGCACAAGGTTGCCCTGTGCGTCCTTCTTTTCTTTCACCAGGACGCCGAGTCGGTTGAGGACGGGCGGGCCGCCCAAGATCTCGATGGCTTCCTCCAGGGTGGAAACCACCGTGCAGAACCCTCTTCTCTCGTAGTCGGTGATGAGCTCCTCCAGCACGTGTGCCTCCTCCTCGGCCGACTTGTAGTTGGACCAGCCCTCAAGAACCCTGCGGTCGAGCTTCTCGTGGGGCTTTAGGTCCCGAGGCACCACCGGTGGGAAGACCCCGGTGGAAGGGATGTCCTCCGTCAAGCCCAGGGGCGCCCCGTGGTCGAGCCAGCCGGCCAGTGTTGCCGAGTCTGGGTCGTCTGTGGCTTTGCCCCAGGCCTCAAAGATCTCGGCCCGAAGTGGCGTGCTCGCTGGGGCCGTGCGTTCGCGTGTCGTGGCCCGCGCGTCGGCCCCCAATGTTGTGAGCACGGCTGCCCGGATCTTGCCGATCACATCCGTGTCGAACTCCTCCGGCTTCCTCCCCTCCAGGATGGCGAGCGCCGGTTCGACCAGCTCGGCATGGAGCTTCGAAGCAGCTTGTGAATGGCCCGGCCCACCTTTCTCGACTTGGGCAGCCTGCGGAGTGAACGGCGGGGGTTTCGCATGCCGCCCAAGGCCTGGCTGTTCTCCCTGTCCCTCTCCGTCCTCGGGCCCTTCGCCGCCAGGGCCTGGAACTCCGTGGTGGGGTCAGCCGCTCAAAGGGACTCCGTTTCCAGGGCCCTGACACGGAAGCCCTGGTACAGAGAATGAGCGATGATCTGGGAGAGGTGGGGCGTGTATTCACCTTGGCGCTTGGAGGCCCACTGCTTGGAGCCGGCCGGGCCCCTCTCCTTCTTCCCGGCGGTGCTGCCATGGGACCCTGGAGGGTGATCGCACCGAAGCCCGTCCAGAACTTCAAAGCCACTGGCGTTGCTGCTGTAGAGGATCTTGGTGGGCTTCACCGTGTCCAGGCCGAGCTTGCACTGGTCAAACGCTGCGATGGCGACCCGTTCGAGGCCCGCGAGTTGGCGGATAAGCGGCATCTGCCACAGTTCCGGTTTGTTCTCGCCGTGGGCCGGGTTCTCCAAGCCCCAGGTGAGCTTTTGGTCCCAGGCCGCCACCAGTGCATCATGCGTGCGTTCCACCAGCACGTTGGCCTCCTTGACCTGTGTCTTCTCCGACGGGCTGAGGTCCGGCTTGCCCTCTATGTGCTCAACCGTGCGGAGCGGTCGGGGTCCCGGGCGGACCTCCCTCAGAGGGCTGAAGGTGCCGCAAGGTGTGCCAGCCCACACCACAGAGAAGTGCCCGTCAATGATGTCTCGTTCGACTAAGTTCCACTGACTTTCGTCGAGGACGTCACATGACGGCGAGGAGTCCCTGTCGACACAGCACACCATGAAGCCATAGTGCACCAGCCAGTTGGGAAGGTCTCCTTTGCGGCGCCGGCCACTGAAAAGGATGAGTGCCCAAGGCCTCTCCACAAAGGAGTCGGCGGGCTGCTCCATCCACATCCCATACGGCCGTGGGCCCCTGACCAGCGGCTGGTAGTCGGGCCACGCCGTCTCCAGCGGGGGAACAAGCAGGAGGCTTTGGGTGCTGGCCAGCTTGCCGCTCGCACCCTTCGTTCTGTTGCCCGTGGCTGCCGCCGCTGCGTGCTTCTTCAGCTTGGCCTTCGGGCTTCCGTCGGCTGTGGAGGAAGTGGCCGGCTGGGTGGCATCGGGCCTCTTGCGCTTGATCGCCGGCCTGGCCCGTGGCGGCGTCGGTGGCTTCTGCGCTGGAGGCTGACGCGGCTCGGAGGGTCGGGTGCCCGATGCCTTGGACTGCGCCGTCTTGTCCACCAGCTGCTGGTTCGCGTCGTCTGCCGGCCCTGCCTTCCGCTTCGGCGTCGGCTTGACGTACCGCCCCCCATGAGAAGTGCCAGGCGGAGCCGCCGCTGTCTCACCCCCGGCTGCCGCCGAAGAGGGCGTTGAATCAGCGAGGTCGGCGGGGAGTCAGGAGCGGTTGCAGTCCGTAGCGGGGTGGGGGCCGAGGCACATGTTGCATTGATGGCTGCAGCCATCTCGGCATTTGCCTTGTGGCTTCTTGCTGCCACATTTCCCCTTATTATATCCACCACATATTTTGGCCCCACGCCTGTTGAGGACATACACCCCGTCCTTCTTCTCGCTCTTGTCCTCCCCATCATAGCGCCCCTTCTTTTGCTTCTTCTTCGGGGAGCCATCGTCGGCGCCACTTCCTTGCCCAACTCGACCTTTGAGCTGCCCAGTGCCAGCGCCGCCGCCGCCGCTGCCGTCGCTCCCGCTTCCTGGCTGCCTCTGAGACAACCAGAGGGTCGCGGGCGTGATCAGCTCTCTCGTCCAGAAGTCGCTGTCACGGACGGCAGCAGCAAAGCACGCGTTCCAGGGCCGTGCGCTGGTGAACCCGAACTCCGGGCGGTCAGTCAAGGTCCGCCGGATGCGTTCGAGGTGTTCACAGCGAAGGCGGTTCTCCGCCCTGTAGATCAGCCACCAGCAGTTGTCGGAAAACTGGGTGACATACGACCTGACGTGCTCCGCGTAGGCGTCCAGCCGCTCCGCGTCGGCGATCTCCAGCAAGAGGAGCGTGGTGCGGAACACCTTCCAAGCTTCCATCCACGTGTGGTAGCTCGAGGGGCCCGGCTGTTCCTTCTTGGACCACTCGCCCGTGGCAACGTTCAGGGTGTAGCTCGTGAACGTCTGTTTGCGAAGGAGGCGCAGGCCGTGAGGCCCGAACAGCGAGAAATCTGCGTAAGGTGCAGCTCCCGCGGCCACCACCTGGCGCAGCGACGCCACTTGATCCGAGGAGGGATCGGCATCCGGGCTGGGGTAATCGCCGAACTTGGCCTTGTAGTCCTTGTAGAGTTGTTGAAAAAAGGCGGCGCCCAGCGGCGAGACCTCGGCGTCCAAGGTGGGGTCGAGGATGGACGACAACTTCAGCCTCCTCGCTCCTGTCGCCGGTGTGCTCCCCGTGGGTGCCGGCCCTGTTGTCGGAGCTGGTGCTGGCGGGCTTGCTCCCCCTGGGACGTCTGGAGGGATGCCCATGCGCAGCAAAGCCACTCGGCGGCTCGACTCCATCCTGGCTCTTTCGACCAAGGTCAAGTCCCGGGGCGGGCCTGGATTGCCGTCGGAGTCGGCTGGTCCTGCCACTCGCAGGGTGCTCACCATGGTGTCCCAGGCAGCTCTAGGGACGAGGGCTAGCTCTCGCACGCGAGCTGGGTCGCCCAATGCCGCCCGCAGTGCTCGCTCCAAGGCCCCTGTCACTCCTGCCCACGTGAACACTCCCGGTAGGTCTGCTATCGCCGCCAGCTCCGCGTCGGTCGGGTCCATTTTGAAGAGCGGGGCCTTCGTGAAGTATGGGCCCAGGCGTCGAGGCCCTCCGTGCAGCCCTCCTCCGGAGATTCGGGCGGGACTCGGTGGTGTTGCGGAGGCTGTAGTTCCCGAGGTTGGCAAAGGCCAGGGAGAGCCGCCTCCGGCTCCGAACGAAGTTCACAGCCCTCTGGGAAATCCGTGCCCACCGGTCCAAAGGGGAATGCGCAGGCGTCGGCGGGGCCCGGCCTACCACGGGTGCTGAGCTCGGCCGTGCCCAGCAGCTACCGCAGCAGAATCCGAAAACCCAGACGCAAAAGCACAGGCTAAGGAGAAGTCCAGGTACCCCTTGGGTGTCCTCCCAGCCCACCAGTGACCCGCCAGAGGCGAAGGTCAAAGGCGAGCTATAAGGAACGACCGCCAGGTCCATAGACAATCTCCACCCTGTTCCTTGGACTTGCCCAAAAGATGGGTATCGTCCTTGAGACCAAAATGGCCACGAACGATACTTTCAGTTAAAATAACCCACCATCCACGCTCGCAATTGTCACTACAACAAGACGCAGGCTGTGTTTCTCTCTCCAAAGTTCTCAGGTGTCGTCGTGCTTTGGTCAACTCAGGTACACCCCACCCCCATATTACATTGCACTCAAGACAGATGCACTGGTGTCAAGAAGATGCTCGCGATGCTGGGGATCTGCAACTCTGGAAACGCAAGAATGCCAAACCATTTCTCACACATTTTACCCTGCAGCAGCGAGTTTCAGATGGGTCGTGAGGACATATGGAGGAGACCCCTACCCTAAACCCGAAAACCCGAAACCCTAAACCCCTACCTAAACCCCCAAAAGTAGGTCACATAGTAGCCCCAAAGCCCATGAAAGGCTATTATTCTACTTTCTTTTGGGGTCCAGGTATCCCCTAAACTCGAAACCTGAAGCACTCGAGGCCCCTGCACCGATGAGCATCGCTTGTGGTAGTACAGCGGAACCCGGGCCTCAGGTCACACAAAGACTTCAAGCCATCTACGGTTGATGGTATAAATCCTGCATTACCCATCGTAAGGGATATACCATAATTCCCATAGTTTAGGGTCCTTAGGATAATGCAGGATTTACATCATCAACAGTAACACATAACGCAGGATACGCAACAGGTAACATGCAACAATGGCCAACTAAAATATGGTTGACATGTGGAACTTGTAGTATATAGAACATATAGCATAATATAGCATGTGCAGCATACAAAACCAACTTGTGATATATGATATGGGTCCCACCAGCATCTGAAAAAAAGGAAGCAAAGCCCCCCGAGGCTAGAGCGGTCGATGAGCTCATGATGAGTCGACCCATCCTGGGCATAAGCACCTATGCGTATAGACATACACATATGTATGTGTATATATATATATACAAGTATACATGTGCATGTAAGTATAAAGGTACATATATACACATGTATCAGTCTGTCTAGCTATCTACATCTCTATCTCTTGTGCTGATACAACAAGTGTATGTAACCTATAACACCAGGTCTGTTCATCATAGCTGCGACTGCGGGTGAAGGGATCCGAGGGCACTTTAAAGGATCATGAGACTTAGTACGTAGGCTTATAAGTAAAGTAGCCACAGTTATATTATTTATTATAACCCCAATTAAGGTACTTATAACCCTGCCTTAACCCCAAATAACCTACCTTTTTAGAAATCAAATTAGGGAGCCCTAAAAAGGTAGGTTCCTTTAGGGTCCAGGTACTTGCTAAGTCCCATGATCCTCCAAGTAAACCCTAACCCCTAAACCCTTATAGTACCCCTATAGATCCCTTAAAGGGACCCCTATAACCCTACTGACTGAGACCCATGATCCTCCAAGCAGAGAGATCGAGGCCAGAGCAGCCTGCTCCCCGTTGCGAATCCTCATCTCCCGCTCGGAGCCTGAAACTACCCGGGGTTCTATAAGGGATCCTTTAAAGGGATCTATAGGGGTGACTATGGTTACTATAAGGGATATATAAGGGTACTATAAGGGATTGGAGGAGTTGATTGAAAGGGGAATAGGAGGGACCCTTAATGGGGACCCCTACCCTCTAATGGGCTATATAATGGGTATATAATACGTATATTAAGGGTATATACTTAAGGGTCCCTATTCAGGGTTCCTCCTTTTACCTTTGGACCAAAGGCCCCGTACCTGGACCCTAGAAGTATGTAGAAGAATAGCCTTTTATGGCATTGGGCCATTTTTTAACGTATTTTTGGTGGTTTAGGTTGGTAGTAGTTCTTTTTTGGGTTCATATTTAGAATCTTATGAGGTAGCCCCAAAAAGGACCTTCTATGCCTCTGGGTAGAACAACTCATACTCAGAACTCGAATAATACTGGTACTGTTGAAAATAACATTGATAAGATGATTAATAGTAGTCATATTCAGATCACTAGCAATTAATATTTGTTGTCCATATAAGCAGTATGAATACTAATGCTAGTAAGAGTATTTTAATGATCAATACGGGCAGTATGAACAATCTGAATAGGAAGGCATGGTATGGTACCATATGGTATGCTCCAGTATACAGCAGTATGTTGCAATGTAGGATGGTGCCTGCCACCATAGCAGCCAAGCCTTTCTGCGCATTCCTGGCCGCATGATTGAGGACAGTTCCCAAAAAGAGGCAACTCAATTTCCGGAGTCGGAGTCAGCACGAAGAATCTCAGAAGCCCCTAATAAACCCACTGTACCCTAAACCATGCGCTCTATACCCTGAACCCTAAACCCTGTAGGCGCACTATTCCCTGAACCCTAAACCTCATATGCGCACTATACCCCAAACCCTAAACCCTATATTATATGCACACTATACCCTAAACCCTAAACCCGATGTGGGCACTATGCCGTAAACCCTAAACTCTATATGCGCACTATACCCTAAATCCTAAAGCCAGACCTTTGGCAAACTCCAGCGAGGATCTCACACACCTGAGCTCAGCCGGAACTGGTGGCGGCTGGTCACTTCGACTTGGGATAGACCTTAACTCCTAAGGACCTCCATTTTCAAGGACCTATATAAAGAAATCATAATAAAGGAACCCTAAAAGGCAGGTTATTCAGGGTTAAGGGAGTTTCTGAACCGCAGAGGCTTGGGCAAAGCTGTTATAGATTGTTCTTATAGTTAATATCGAATGTTCATAGTATTAACCTTCATAATATTATAACCTTGATATATTCGTATTATTCATCTTATTACCATTGATAGAGTCACTTCGTCGAACTTCGCAGCGCGTAAGACGTCGGCCATGGGCATCAGCAAACCGCTCAGGAGGCCCTTCCTGTACCTGGGGTGTAGGGCTTATAGGGTTCACTGATCTGCTGGTGTAGTAGTAGTAGTAGTAGCAGAAGTAGTAATTATTAGTATTAGTAGTAGTAGTAGTAGTACAGCAGTAGTAGTACAGCAGTAGTAGTAGTAGTAGTAGTAGTAGCAGAAGTAGTAATTATTAGTATTAGTAGTAGTAGTAGTACAGCAGTAGTAGTACAGCAGTAGTAGTAGTAGTAGTAGTAGTAGTAGTAGTAGTAGTAGTAGCAGAAGTAGTAATTATTAGTATTAGTAGTAGTAGTAGTAGTAGTAGTAGTAGTAGTAGTAGTAGTAGTAGTAGTAGTAGTAGTACAGCAGTAGTAGTACAGCAGTAGTAGTAGTAGTAGTAGTAGTAGTAGTAGTAGCGTAGCAGAAGTAGTAATTATTAGTATTAGTAGTAGTAGTAGTAGTAGTAGTAGTAGTAGTAGTAGTAGTAGTAGTAGTAGTAGTAGTAGTAGTAGTAGTAGTAGTACAGCAGTAGTAGTACAGCAGTAGTAGTAGTAGTAGCAGAAGTAGTAACTATTAGTATTAGTAGTAGTAGTAGTAGTACAGCAGTAGTAGTACAGCAGTAGTAGTAGTAGTAGTAGTAGTAGTAGTAGCAGAAGTAGTAATTATTAGTATTAGTAGTAGCAGTAGTACAGCAGTAGTAGTACAGCAGTAGTAGTAGTAGTAGTAGCAGAAGTAGTAATTATTAGTATTAGTAGTAGTAGTAGTAGTAGTAGTAGTAGTAGTAGTAGTAGTAGTAGTAGTACAGCAGTAGTAGTACAGCAGTAGTAGTACAGCAGTAGTAGTAGTAGTAGTAGTAGTAGTAGTAGTAGTAGTAGTAGTAGTGTTGGATGTCACTGCCTCACTGTCGCCGATTGTGTGTACAGGGTCCGCCCAGGTTCCACCTTGAGGCGTGGGGCGAGTCGCGCAATGATTGAGTGCCTGCGCATTTTTTGCGTGTTGTTTTAAGTGACTTCCTGAACCCTATAGGACCTTCCTTTTTAGGGTTCCCATTATGATTTCCTTCTCTATGTCCTTGAAAAGGTAGGTTATTTGGGGCCAAGGTTGGGCATGTTGACGGCAACACGTCTCCTGCCTCGGTGTAACAGCAAACCTCGTCGATTCTGAGCAGGCTCTGACCGGTCCTCAGAGGAGCAGAGTCTGCGAGATTTGCGTGGTGTTCTGTGGTGCATTATGGATTATTATGGTATTGTGGATTACTATGGTTTAACAGATGGATTTTAAGGTATTCTGGATTATTATGGTTTGATATATGGATTATTATGGTATGATATGTTATGCCTTACATTCATGCATCTACTTTTCAGATCCTTTCAGACAGCTAGGTCCAGAGCTGGTTCCTGCCATGAACCGTGAGGCGACGCCTGCAGAATCAGTCTCTGTCGACGTGCTCTGACACAAGGGTTTAGGGTTTAGGGACAAGATGCCCTCATGGCCTTCCCAGATCCCAATGTGCCTCGCAGGCGCCAGACTAAATGGAAGAACAAGGCTTATAAACTCTGGCACGTGCCTCTTCTACACAAACCACCGTCGCTCGGGATCCAAGGCGCCTAGACGCGAACACAACTCACAGTCATCACAACCGGTACGAAACACAAGTCCTGATCCTGAGACACGAGCTTTTCAGCAAACTTTGGAGTACGGTACATGCCTAGCCAACACATCACGCCGCGCACGGAACCAGCACTGGCAAGGCTCCATTCACGCAACTAACTTGCATCAGGCTGCAGTAGAATAACCTTCGTATGTCCATCGTCTGCTCTTCAACACCTGAGGTTGTTGTGAGTAGGCCAGTCAGCACGGAGCGCAGCATGTGCGAAGACCAACAGCTAAGCAACGTCTGGCAAGCTTGGCGGCATGTGAACGGTGCGTATCCTTGCTCGAAAATACAGCGGCCTAGAGTTTCTAGCATGCAGCGGCCTAAAATCCCTGGTGCTGAGTTTCTGGGTGCGGAACGGCCAGCCGGAACGTTCTATCGAATGCTGGGTCGTGGACAGATTTTGCTGTTGACGGTCTCAACAGATTTGACCTCGGCATTGGGTGGTACAGTGGGCAGTAGCATGGGCCGACGATGCATTCAGTGCTTGCGGCAAAGATTGGATCCAGTATATCATTTCTGCTCTCTGCAATGTGCCAACCTGAAATCCCCAACGGCCCGTGGCTTGCAAATCTGGGCCACTCTGCCGAAAGCTACCTTACATCAGCATACTTCAGTCATCTTCAGTCTATTATAATATACTGTACATTGTCGTATACTCTGGAGTGTACAAAAAACTTTATAGTAATCCTACTCCCTTAGCCTTAAACCCTACAAGTAGTAAACCATAACCCTACAACTTTCCTTTACCCGACTATGGCCGCCCAGGTGCATATTTCAGGTTGGGGTCCGGGAACTTCTGCAAGAAGGCCGTAGTCACGACGCCCTCAGGCACCAATGCTCTGCTGTGATCTTTTGGGGCTTAGGGTTTGGGGTTTGGAATTAGTTATACACCAGATACTCGTTATGGCGAATATTACATATCATACATCATCTGCTTGAGGCTAATATGAGTACACCTTTTATTCAACGGGGTGCCGAACAAGTTCGAGGTGATCTGTGGTGACCTAGATTTGGACGGGCACCCATATGTCCCGCATAGAGCTATCATCTGCATCAACCGAATATCATATGCAGGAAGTTGGCACGATGCATCTGCGAATGGGAATTGGCAACAGGCTAAGCTCCGGACCCAATCGTGTTCCAACAAATGCTGGTTATTGTACAGGGGGTGTGCCTGCAGGGCGACTGCAATGCCACTCCGACTTCACCCTACACTCTTGCAAACCTGTGTATATTATACATATTTATATGATAACCATACATACAAACTGTATCACATATCTACACCGTAATTCATTGGCCTCAAGTGGCCTCGGAAAGTGATGCGCCATCGACGTTGGACATACACACCAAGCGACGAGGATCAGCGAATGGCCAGGCTGTCTTCTTGCATCTTGTTTTGAAGCAAACGTCAATCACTGCAGTAGGCTTCAGCACACCGAGGCAATTCGGGACTCTGCTACTTTGCACAGCTTGCATGCAAAGTGCCATGCGAGTCAACCGTTGTACATGGTGGTAGTAAACAACATGGAATTTGCAACCAGATGCACGTGATTGCTCAAACTAACTTTGAGACTGTCATAAGCGGCCTGTCCAAAGTCTTCGGTCCACGATTCGCTGACACTTGATGAAACTATTGACGGAATGCGAACCGTGGTCAAGTCAGTGAGGTTGTGCTAGCACTGGCCATGTGACTCCATGCTGGCAGCAGGGGAAAGCACGCCTGTTCAAGCTCAGCCTCGCACATCCTTACGAAACGAAACACAATCAGAGCAATCAGACACGACGCACGAGAGGACTGCTGTCCAAACACCAGAAGCAGTAGTGAAGCGTATAAGACGAAACAAGGTCGGATAAACTGCAGTCAAAACAGTTGCTTGGCCGGAAGAGAAGAAGGAGCATTGTTTGCAATCCTCTTCACATTGACATGACGTAGCGAGGGCACAGTCGCAAGTCGCAAAGCTGACATGAACCAATCAGCATCCCGCCACGTGGATTGCAGTATTGCTTTAAGCTTTTTTTACAGGATCCGCATCGTGTCAAAAGCTTTTCGCTGATTGCGCAGACTTCATGGTGCAGACCGGGCGGGACAGCTTTGCCATCACGTAGTGACAGCTGCATGCTGACCGCAAACCAAGGATTACAATGTCGTGTTGCCTGCAATGTCGCCGAGGCTTGGCTTGCTTAGACCTGGCCAAAGGCTTCCACCCTGGGTTCCGGCCAAAGTGTCGCCGAGCATGGCATGGCCCAAGAAAGGAAGCTGCAAGCATGTCCAACCGAGACACGGGGCAGCCGATGAGGGAGTACCAAGTACTAGCATCAACAGCGCTCGTTCGCCATTCGTCATGATAGCAGCCTCCGCTGCTGTTCCTTAAGGCTTAAGGCAGAACATCCTGCAGCAAGGCTCAGAACTTCAGCTTCGCAACCTCAGAGTTGAAACCTCAGCGTGCCGGTGTTCCGAGCTGACATCTCTGATCTTTTCCTTGCGTTCGGGTCTGAGCGGAACGGCGACCCCTCAAAAAAACTGCTGCAAGGCTGCTCTCAGAGCAGCCGCAGCCTGATTAAACATGGAGGAGCAGTCTTACCTGGACCCCAAAAGTATGTAGAATAATAGCCTTTCATGGGCTTTTGGCTATTATTTTACCTACTTTGGGGGGTTTTGGTATTCCTGGGGTGGCCAGAAATCTCGTCAGACGAGTTCACTTTCTATCTCAAAATCAGACGTGTCTTCGACAGGTCCTTGCAGATGCGATTCCGCAGATTTTAAAATGTGACTCAACGAAGCTGCCGCCTGATCAACATCAGACTTGTCTTCGAGAGGTCCTTGCGGATGCGATTCCGCAGATTCGAGAATTTGACTCAACGAAGCTGGCGCGCGAATGCCACGTGCGAGGTCTGCGGCTGTCTGTCCGCGGGAATTACGGAAATCTAGCCGTGCTCCTGCAGCAATCAAGATGGATGTTGCTTCGAAGTATCCACTCAGAATGCTGAACATGAGGGGAGTTGCCCCCGAATGGTGATAGGCCAATAATGTGAGACGCGAAGGGCTTATCCTGTGTCGCAGGCCTGCGAGTATGAGGACGAGCCACCAGGCAGTGTCCTTCATCATGCTCAGTTGGAACTGCTCGTCCACATCTGCTTTTGCTTGAATCAAACAGGTGATCGTTTCGGCATAGCCACCCTGAAACATCAGAGCGAAGTGCAAGCAATGCTGCAGACTCGTTGAGGGAACCAATGCAAGCAGCTCCTTCATTGCGTCAGCGGAGGCGCAGGCACAAGCCACCTGAAGGGGAGTCATCCCTGGAAAGCAGCGCCGAGAAGAGTCGGCCATTGCTTCGAACAAAATGCGGACTCCAGCTGCGTTGTTGGCGGCACATGCTCCATGCAGAGCAGTCGCAATCGTAGTGTCACAGGCATTCACGTTTGCCCGGGCTGACAGGAGCAGCTTCAAGACATCGTTGCTGTGGTACAGCGAAGCCAAGGAGAGCAAGGAAAAGCGCTTGGGCAAATTTCTGGACTTCTTCTCTTTGGTGATGTAGTCATTGGGATCAGCTTGACTCTGAAGCAATCCTTGCACTAACTCCGAACTGCCGTTCACAACTGCAAAGCAAATAGGAGACCAGCCAGCAGTGTCACGCTCCAAACTGCTGTGAAAGCCATTCTGATGCAGGAACCTTGCCGGCTCAGATTATGGTGCTGACGACCCCAGCACCCACGACACAAGCTGCATCCTTTAAAGCCCATCTAGACAAAAGATCGACAGGGTGCCAAAACTATCCTCTCAAATGTTTCTCAGGCTTATCGGTGCCCATTGCAGGTCCAGGAACCTCGCTAGCACGAAATCGCCTGGATGTTGGAACGGATCCATGGCACCGGAAAAGCCGGGAACCAGGCCATCCACGGGTTCTACGTCTAGGCCCTGCAGGAAAAACGCCTTTTGTTCATTCAACAGAAGCCGATAGTTGTGCAAGTCCTCCTTCTCCAAATAGTATCCCAACTTGTTCCAAACCATCTGCACCATCATACGCCCAATCTTGGTCCTGTCAGCTTCACAAGTAAACTCTCCGTTCCCAGGGGCCCCTTGTGCATTTTGAACATCGAAGATCATCTTCACATGTCTGGCGCTTTCAACAGCGATGGTGTAGCCATCATTCCTTGCCGCCAGCTCTCGTGCCACCCTCTCGGCTCGGCACCATCCTGTAATGCGCATGGGTTTAGGGTCTAGGGCTTTTAGGATTCGGGGCCATTGAACCGGCAAAGGGTGCGAAGTACTTACGACGTACGACAAAGGGCTTCTGGAAACTTCCCCGTCCCGCCTCGCTCTCGCCAAGTCTGCAAGGAGAGCATCTTCCTCTGGTCTGCATGCTCCAGGGCAGGGCACAGAATGACGAAGTACTCGCACTTGGCAACATAGGAGGGGATGCCCTCTATTGCAAGTTGTCGCTTCGCCTGAGCCGAGCTAGCCTGTGGGCAGCTTAGATAATCGTACCACACATAGAGAGGCTTCGACTCGAAATCTGCCACTGTGGGACCAGGCCTCCGGCCAAAGAAAATCTCTTCCGCAATGGGAAGACTGGCCTCTTGCAGCACTTGCAGCTGCTGGTAGTGGGGGTCAGGATGCAGGCTGCCGAGCCACTGGTGCGACACAAAGAAGGCCCGGCCCATGGTCTCATCAAAAATCGAAAGACCATCCGCTTTCAGCATCTCTTCGTGGGACTTCAGGGTCTCCATTGCCAGAAAGTCGGCCATTTTCACTGTGAACATTGGAAACTCTGTAGCTGCATCGAACTCTATTCCCGACCTTCTCCCGCTCCTCAGCCGAACCATCTCCTCTTCAGGGCGTGCATGGAGATTGGCTGCATACTTCGCCAGGCCCGTGTCGACCATCTGTGGCCCACCGGACGCCTTCAGCGGTCCGGATGTATGCTTGGGCCAAATGCCTGCCGACATGTTCCCTTCATTTTCCGAGGCTTCGCAGCAGTCTTCACAGCTGTGGCAACAGCATGCGAGCGAGCCGAAGTGACAAGGGATTCAGAAACACATGCGGTTTCTCTTCTTAAGCTCCACGCAGGCCCCCAGGCAGACGACTTGATTGGCCTTGTTTCGCTTCGGTCCGACATAACATTATTCTTCATCAGGCGCTCACCGCAAGAACTCCGAAGTTTTGAGGCAGCTCCGAGCAAATATGAACCGAGAAAAGGAAAATTGTGTCTGGCAACCTGAAACAGGTCAAAGATCTGCCGGTGCCAGAGACTGCAATGAATCTTGACATGACTCCGCAGTCCAAAGATACCAAAGTCAGGGCGGAGAGATCGGTAAAGAAAGAACCCGTGTGGAACGTCATAAGTTTCACAGTGAGTAGGTGCTCGGATCTGAAAGATGTACTGTAGCAAGCATTTCACAAGTAATGATAAGTGGTAGAAGACACGCGGGCACGTGTATGCGTGTGTGTGTGTGTGGGCGCAGGTGTATGCGCGCAAACGGGACTTCGTCTGACTGACTACGGCCAGAGGACCACTGTCCCGAAGCAAGAATAGCCCCCTTTTGGGTCCCCTAAATAATAGGTGCCGTATGATAATAGGGGCCCGAAGCGGGACCATAATTCTGAGGGCGCTTCAAGAGATTGCCAGCAGCCCCAGCCCCAGCTCCGTCGCTTCGTCACCAGCTGGAACCTAGCAAAGACTGGGCAGGGAATTGTCCCCATATTTTACTCAACTAAGTTAGGTTTAGATCCATGCTTGCATTTTTATGCTGAAAGACTGTAGCAGATAGTACAATATGGTACAGTACGTTGTTCTGGTTCTAGTCCAGCTCAGCAAAGTGCGGTATGACAGACGTTGCCACAACCGGGGGCGGCAGCAGCTTTTGTTGCAGGCGGTCTGTCTCGCAGCAGCTGTCTGCACACATTGTTTCGTGTGTCACTCATGTCGAAATATGCAAACACGGTGCTTTGCAAGTGAATGCTTGTCCTGCCTTGATTTGGACCCTTGAGCGGACCTGGAAAGTTTCTGCTCCATGGTGGCTCTCTGTAGGCGATATCATCCGGATTTCTGCGTCTGCTTCTTGCCCGTTTGCAGCAAGATCAAGCCCAAAAAAGCGACGCTCTTCTCGCTGGCCGCATCCGTTCACTGGCGCAGAGGCTTTGATGAGGTCTTCCTTGGCGAAGACCACCGTTCGTGGAAGCCAGCACTCCGGTCCCAGCTGCACCGGGAAGTTGACCACCATGTGGCAAACATGGCAGTCAAGAACACAGCTCTTTCCCTCACAAATCACAGCGCCGGGCTCAAAGTCGCATGCAGCAGTGATGGGCCAGCGACTCTCCGAGTTCGAGTCCGAGGAAGCAGCTAGCAAGCCAGTGCTTTTGCCGAAGTCGAGGAACTGCACTGTAGGGTGCTGCTGCAGGAGATAAGCTCGAGGGATTCTCTCCACCTCGGCGAGCCTTGCAAGAAGTGCCTCCAAGGGCCAATACTTGCAGCCGCGGATGGAACCTCGGCATGTGGATGAACCACACCTGCATGGCGAGAGGTCCATTCCAACGGTCTGCAAGTCAATGTCAAAGAGCTCATAATCGGCAGTGAGCTCGGTGCCGGGGCTGATATTCTTGAGGGCATAAACTCCGTAATCACCGCTTGACCCATTCCCGAACTGGGTGCTTCCGTAGAATATGTTTGGTTCACAGCTGTGGTTCGTGAAGCTGTCCACCTCGCCCATTTCGCGAATGTTCGGGCCAAGGAGAGAGGCATGCATGAAAACATCGAGCACGTACTCCACACTGCCATATTGCAGCAGGGCCTTCCCCGGAAGGTCGGGCAGAAAGTGACACTTGGCCCGGTAGATTAGCTCGCCCTGGCGGATAGGTTGAGTGGCAACGAGGCCCTTGCCACATTCCGACTCCTTGACCTCCACTTTCTCGATTAGCGGGACATCAAACACCTTGAGGAAGTCGGGTCCCTTCTCTGCCTGGCCCTGGGCCCCCAACTTCACTTGCAGCTTCTCGTAGCCGTCGCTGAGTTCCGACGATGCCATGCTTCGTAACAGTCTGATGAGAACATCAGCCACTGCAATGACAGCCACGATCATCAGCAACATGTACGCATAGCCAGTCCTGCCGCCTTCATCGAAAACGTACCGCCCCAACGGGGTGAAGATGGCCCTCGCTGCTGCATCAGCAAAGGAGGACATTACGAGGATGTTTGGCTGTGAGAAGACTGACATCGGGCTGCTTGCCTCAATGGCGGTACCTTCCCCCACGCTCGCGACGCAAACGAGCGTGGGATACATCAAAAAGTCTGCTGCTAGGGCCGCCGACATCCCATGGGTTCTCAAGAGCAGCATTGCGCCAGCTGCAGCAACCATAAGCATGACCCATGTGGCCACTGCATCGTCCACAAGGCCGCTCTCCTGAATAGCCATGAGTCCAGCTCCGGCCACGGCAGTCGCCGCCAGCACAGCCCCAATGCCTCTGCCAATTGCATGGTACTGCCACCCGCCGTCCACTTCGAGTAGGAGAGCGGTGGTCACTTCAATCGAGGCAGCTACTCCGAAGCAGAGAGAGAACTGCACCAAGCAAAGAAACACGACCGCAGCACGGTTGCTGCGGTTGCAGGCTGCATCCTCTGCATCTGCCACAGAGGCATGCTCCTTTCCGAAATCCTTTGGCGAAGATGGGATTGCCACCACGAGGACCGCAGCCATGCAAACGCAAAGGAATGCAACTGCAGCTGACACTGCAGACAATGCAGCTGCTCCGGGCTGGAAGGGTGTCTTGTTATCCATGCCCTGCTCGGCTCCCAGCTTGCTGCTCAGCAGGGGGCCAAGGCCCAGGCCCAAGGCGTAAGCAGAGTACTCCAGCACTGCTGCTCGTACCTGCTCATGTGCGGGGGTCTTCTGGCGCACGAGAAAGTGGATCAGCTGGCCCGCACCCTCGAACAACCCCATCGCAATGCGCAGGCCTAGAAGCTCAAGCTGTGTTGGGGTGCCAGAGGCAAGCAAGCTGGCAAGCGCCACACCGAGCCCAGCGTTAGCAATCACAGGAAGGACAATTGCAGCGTGGATCTGACTTGGGGACATCACGTGCCAAGCAAGCCTCGAAATGCAAATTCCGACAAACAGGCCAATGCCGTTCGAGCCGATGAAGAACCCGGATGCGGCAGCGCCCCCACCGGCATAGCGGCTGAGGTCGTAGGACATGGGGATGACAAACGAGTACTGCACTGCTGCCACCAAGGACACGCCTGCACCCAGGAGCTGATACGCCCAAGAGCTCGAGACCCCCCTAATCGCCACGCTGTGCATCAATACGAGGACCTCAAAAGCCAGCACAACAGAGCTGATAATGACCACGATGGGAACAGCCACCGCCGCATGGCCACCATTCGTAGGGTCCGGATTGTCAAGAGAGTCCAGGTCAAGACGTTCTGCACGCATGGCGCATGAGCATGTAACCAAAGGAGTTAGCAGACTGAATGAGCGGCTGCAGATCTTCTGCATCCAGCTCACCGGAAACACTTGGGAGGCCGTAATACCTCGAACAGCAAAACAGCAACAGCATTGCAACAAGCGCATTTCAGAAACAGCGGCAACACTGCGGCAACGATCTTAGCAGCAGCGGTGGCGGCAGCTGCAGCAGCAACAGCAACCGCGACAGCAACACACATCAACTGCAACAACCACAACAAACCCCAACAACCCCAACAACCGCAACAACCTCAACAAACACAACCACCACAACCACGACCACCACCACCATGACAACAACGACGAAGGCGACGACAACAACAACAACAACCACAACCGCCACCACAACTGCAACCACAGTCACGACCGCCTCCACGACCACAACCGCGACCACAGCCACTACCACCATCACCACCACCACAACCACAACTACAACCAAAACAACGACCCAATCACAACCACAACTATAAGCAAAACAACGACGGCGACGACAACCACAATCACAAGCAAACAAAAACAATCGCCACCACCGCCACCGCCACCCCTACCGCCACCGGGACCGCCACCCCCACCACCCCCACCACCACCAACAACAACAACCACCACAACCAGCGATTCAGCAACACGCAACAGGCAGCAATCATCAAGACCACTTCACCTGTCCCCGGCCTCAGCTTGTTCCCGTGAGGCCGTCGCACCTGATGCCCCTCGAGTTGATGAGCTGATCTTGCTCAGCGCCTGCTGGACAGGTTAGCGCAGCCATGTGAACATGTGGGCATTCAGCTAAAGGCGGCAAATACGATAAACCACGACGGTGACCTCCACAGTCTTGTCGTTGGGTCTGTTGCGTCTGCCGTTGCGGCTACGAGCCTCAGCAACTTGTGTTGCAAGCGCATGGGTGTCGCGAGAACATGATGCGAGCTGCCACTCTTCTTGCACAGACTTGCACATACCCGCCCGGATTTCAGAGCTGCTGCACTCGTGGCCGAAGCCCTAATCGTCTGAAACACCTGGATAACGGAGGTACCTGTCGAACCTGGACGCCGTACGAAAGTCTAGAAGATGTGATCATGCAACTGGCCCAGAACATGACTCTCAGCATGTGTTTCATCAAGTTTCATCATCTCATCCGCCAAGATGCCATAGAATGCATAGAACATTGAGCTGTAGCCACTGCACCCAAGCAATGAAGACCCGGAAAACATCACCACATCTGAAGAGGCGCTGGAAACCCTCAACCTCGGGTAGCCGGTTCATGGAGACAGAACGGTCAACGACCCTGACAACATCTCCACGAAACATCCGTTCAAGTGGAGGGAGGCAGCGCATGGATGACTGGATGATCATGCCTGAAATGATGCTCGATGCAG